AAAAAAAATCTCTAAGAGGGAAGGACTTGTTGTGAATAGAACCACAGTACACAGTGACTAAAACCCCAGCACGTGTCTAGTCTGCTAGGATTGTAGTCTTGCAGGGTTAATTTGTATTGTTGAGACAAGGTCTCCTTATATACATGGCCTGGCACCCCCGGTGTTGAACTCGGGCGTCTGCATGTCGACTTGCTTCCTGTCTGCTTTTTTTTACAGCATGAGCTGTGACCTACATTAAGATCTAAACTACATTAAACCAAGAAAACAAAAGCTGGGCAGTGGTGATGCCCACCTTTGATCTCAGTACTTGGATCTACAGAGCAAGTTCCAGGACAGCCAAGGCTATACCAGACCCTGTCTTTGGGGAGGAAAAAGAAAAAAGATCTAAACTATATGCAGTGAATTTCATGCTACTTAATGACCTCAATATGTTCCAGGAAATTAGCCATTAAACTTTGTCTAAAGAAGTTAAACTTTAATTTATGTAGTTAACAAAAACAAAGATCTGCAGATTGCTATATAGTCACAGATCATGTATCACTGTCTTCTAGATGGTCCATAGCTGATCAGAGAATCGTTATGTGGCTCAAGTTTGTTACAAATAATGTTAGAAGATCTCAGCACAGGCTCCAATTTATGGAAAGTGTCCTGGGTTTTCCGAGCTTCTTAGTTGTCTCTTTGGCCTGTTTCTTGCTGTTGGCTGCTCTCTAGGAACTCTGGAGGTGTGCTGAGCCAGTGGCCCCCTGTGATGAGGTTTGTAGCCCAGGCTTTGGCACTGTGGACTTTGTCCAGTGTAGTGTCCATCCTTTCAGCTTCTCATATCATTTGTCTTTGAGTATTGGAATGAGAGCCAAGTCTTTATGTCTGCTCGGCAAGCGCTCTGCAACTTGAGCCACACTGTCAGTTCTAACCCAATGTTTTTATTCTTTTTGGTTTTTTGAAACAAGGTTTTTATTCTGTAGTCCAGGTTTACCTCAATCCCGTGTCTGTCTGACTGCTGGGATGTAGACATGAACCATCATACTTGCTTCACCTAATGTCTTAGTGTTGTCTAAGACTGAGTAGAAGTTGCCGAGTGCAAGAAGCCGATTCTCTTTTGCTTGTTTATGGGAGTTCATTTGAAATTGCTTTCTTTGTGCGTAGTCTGTCTTGGCAACTGGAGCCATATTTATTTTCTCGTTGCTTGAGATAGTGGTGTCTGGGGTCAAACCTCCATGGTTGCTAGTGAGGCCACTCCGGTGACCACGTAGCCTGTGCAAGGCTCTGGATTCCCTACCCAGCTCTGCAAAAGGAAAGTGAAAGGTTGAGAGGGAGCCAGACGTGGAGCTATGACTACTTTCAAAGCACCTAGGGGCAAAGACAGGGTCACTTTAAGCTCCCAGTTAGCCAGTAAGACACAGTTAGCCACAGCCTCTGGTCACTGTGTTTCCAGATGGTGCCACCTTCCAAGTTTCAACAAAACAGCCAACAGCTTTGTATCTGCAAGAGACAGGACTGGCCAGATCCAGAACCTGGGAAACCAGACTGCCTTCCACAAGTTAGGACTACATAGTTGAAACACATAGGCTACGTAACACTTGGTCAGTAGTGGGTCACATACCTGTCAGGTCCTGTGGTTATCACGTAGTGCCCTCATAGCCATCTGAAGGTACTGTCATAGTGCATTGTCTATCTCTTGTATGGGTCCTGATTCGAACTGTAAAAATGGCACAGGGGAAGCAGGGAAAGGAGCCTCATACCCATAATCCCAGCATCAGGAGGCAGAGGCTGAAGGATCTAGAATTCAATGTCAGCCTGAGCTATACATAGTCAGACAATCTTGGAAAAAAAAATATTTAATTGAAGACTTGACAGTTTCATGAGAGGTTGGTTTGAAACGCACACATCAACTAACCTACCCTTTCCTAGACAAGGAGCACATTTAGGTGTCAGAGAAGAATAGTGCTGCTTCCAAGTGATTCTGTGGAAACCATAATCCAGAGTATCGGTGCTCTGGAGCTAGGATGCTTAGGGATGGGAGAGCAGTGTGGGACCTTGGCTCGAACAGGTTTGACATTGTATGGGAGGAGGCACCAGAGTTTACTCCAGCTCCTTTACTTACAGTTGCAGTTCTGACCTACAGAGTAGCCACAACCCTATGCTCAAGAGGCAGGAGGCAGGCAGATCGCTTCAGTTTGAGGCCAGCCTGGACGATAGAGGAACTTATTTCCAGGCCAGCTAGGGCTACATAGTGAGATCCTGTCTCAAAATAAAGTAGCAACATGACTTTCCTTTTTGCATTTTGAAAGTCCTTTTAAATGGAAGTGATTCTCTATGTTGCCTTTCTCAGGGTACCTGCGATAGGCATCTCCAGTAATGCATGTAGTTTTTGAAGCTTGTGGTTTCAAGACGTCCATGTTTAGGAGGACCCTACAGTTAGCTGTTAGAGAGACTGCTCTGGCTCCCAGAGCACCTCAGTGTTGCTATGCCCTCACATAGCACAAGGAGAGACTAGACTCTACTGTCCTTCTTATAAAAATGGCATGTCTTTTGTATCAGCACCTCCTGTTGGGGCCTTTTTGTTTTTTTGCTTTTTATTTTGTTTTTTTCAGAACAGTTTCTCTGTGTATCCCTGCCTGGCTGGCTTCAAACTCAGATATCTGCCTGCCTTTGCATCCCAAATGCTAGGATTAAAGGCACATGCCATCACCACCTAGCTCTTTTTTTTTTTTTTTTTGAGATTGGGTCTTGCCAAGTATCCAAGGATGACCTCCAACTCATGGTCCTCCTGCCTTAGGTTTCTGAGTACTGGGTTAGGGCAGGCTTTTCATGGGATTTGGACGTTGGTGTAATTTGGGCCTTAGTACCTGACCCTTTACCAGCTTTCTTCCTGAGATTTGTGACAATCACATATAGGAAGGTGTCCCCCCTCCCCCCCCCGGGGGGGGAGAGAGGGTGGTCTGTCTATTGGGTGTCCTGGAACTCGTTTTGTAGACCAGGTTGGCCTCAAACTCAGGTCCACCTGCTCCCGCCTCCTGAGTGCTGAGATAAAGGAATGCACCACCACTATCTGGCATATAGGAAGTTCTTAATCTAAAGTGCCGTTCAAGCCTCAGGTGTCCTGACTCTGTTCTTCTTGCTCCTGTTTAGGAAGAAAAGAGACGAAAAATGACGCTCAAAGAACCGTAAGCACTTCGCTTTCCCTTACAGAGCAGGTGATGCTGTTAGGCAGTTCTAGAGAGGGGTGAGAGGAGGCTGTTCAGCGAACTGCTGCACCAGCCTTAACCTTCTGTGGATCAGAGTGGAAGCAGGCACTTAGCTTCTGCCGGGCAACCTCAGTACCATGATGGCCACTGTGGATATTGGCACCAGCATGCCTGGGCTAGCTTAGGAAGAGTTGGTGCAGGGCTGATGGTGGGTAGCGTATTCCAGTTTGATGAAATGCCAGCAACCTTGTGCTTCTTCCAGAGTGGAGAAAAAGGCGGCTCGAACCAAATCGGCCGTGATCCCAAAGGTAAGGGCACCTCCAGGAACTTGGCCAGCAACAGCACAGGAGTTCCTAGATGTTGGAGAGCTGCCCTGAGGCCGTACCTGTTCTTCCCACAGACGGATTCACCACGGTGCCCCCAGTGCGGCCAGTTCCTAGATGACCCTGATCTGAAGTACCAGCAACACCTTCCAGATGCTGTGAGTCCGCGCTCTACCTTCACCCTGTCCTCTCCTGCCTCCTGGTATGCCCATGTCCCTGTCCCCTGTCCTTCAGGTGGACGAACTCCAAATGTTGGTCAGTGAGAAACTGTCCATCTATGAATCCAACTCGTCTGGATTTGAAAGCTACGAGTCATCTCCCCAGCACAGGGTGACCTGCTTCAGGTAACTGCCATGCCCTGTGGGTGTGTTCTGCTGATGGACACCTGTGTTCAAGGCATCTAAGTGTAGTCATTACTTCTAATCATAGGGCTTCTCAAGCTGCCCTCCTTTTGACAATAAGCTAAGAAGCCAATTAAGGTTGAATAGACTTCAGCCACAAATACAATTTTATTATTGCTGTTTGTTTTCTGGGGTTTTTTGCAGCCTGGGCCAGCCTCAAACTTGATAAGTAGTCAGGATGACCTTGAATTCCTGGCCTTCTGTGCTAACATTCCCAGATGTGTAGTGCTCTGTGCAATCCAGAGCTTTATTTACATCAGGCAAGCTCTTCACAGCCGAGCCATGTTTCCAGCCCTGGCTTTGGAGAAGCAGGACCAGATGTGATGAGGCTGAACCCACAAGTCCTTCTGGGTTGTGTGGTGGAAGGGGTCCCCTCAGGAGCACCCATCATTCCTGAGTGCTCTTAGATATTGAACCCACCATGGGCTGGAGTTTGGGGACTATTGGGTCAAGATCACTGGGTGTGGCTGTGGCAATACTCCCTGCAGTTGGTTAGTGGCTATATCTTTCTCCCTACCTCTGACGTGGTAGATCTGCCCGTGATCTACAGGGCTTTGCCCTAATAGGCAGTAGACCTGTGGGGCCAGTTAAGATTGTTTGTAGATAGCAGTCAGCTGTAAATCCCACTGTGGCATCCTCAGAACTGAAGCCAGGCTTCTCCTTCATTCAGTTACATAGCCTTTTTTCTGGTGGGGAAAGATGGCTGAGGGCGTGCAGCCCTTGGCTGAGTGTGGCCAGTGAACAGGCCTTATGCAGGATCAGTACTGGTACTCCAGTTCTTTTTAGTCTGGAGAGATAAATCAGCAGTCAACTCCAGCTGCTGATACCTGTGTAGGCAGCTCACAACCAGCCAATTATAACTCCAGCATGTGGTGTGTGGTATTTGTCACACAAGAGTGGTGTGAGACACTGTTGGGTGGTGGATATTGCTGAGTCCAGAACCCTCACTTAGTCTGGGTACCTTGAGTCTGACGGAGATTTATGGTCATCGTTGCGGAGCTGGGTGGTGAAGTAATGTTTGTTGCCTGTGTAGTGTATATTGCAATAGAGGTCATCTGTGTCCTGTTGACACTGGTCTTATTGAGAAGAACATTGAACTCTACTTTGCTGGTTGTGCCAAAGCAATTTATGATGAAAATCCATCTGTGGAAGGTACGTGTACTGGTAAAGGTATGTGCAATGTTCAAGGGTTGTTAAAGAAGCGAACAAAACATGGGAGGCAAGATAGGGGAGGCAAGATAGAACCCATGGGAAGTACTGCTTTGAGAGGAGAGCTCAAAGTCCTGCCATTAACTGAGCAAAGTGAAGAGGCTGCATGCTGGCTGAGGTTTTCTAGCTGGAGAGAGAGCTGTGAAGTCACCATGTCTAGTCTCTTAGCGGGACTTTTTTCCACAGGTGGTGTTAATTGCAAAAACCTGGGGCCGATCAATGAGTGGTGGATCACTGGCTTTGATGGCGGAGAAAAGGCTCTCATTGGCTTCAGCACCCGTAAGTTTCTGCCTGGTCACAAGGGTCTCATCAGGCACAGGGAGGACCTCGTGACCTGTGTTCATCTTTACTGGCCTGAAAGCTGATCCTCCAGTTGTATGACAATCAGGTGTTTACAACTCAGATGAGTGCTGACCTCAGCTGACTCATTTCCACCTGGCTCCTGCAAGTCCTGCTGGACCTTAGCGAATAGAGAAGTTGGATTCTTGTGGGTTAGGTTGTGGAGTTTTAAATTTTAGATTGTTCTGGAAGCTTGGAAGACATATACTTGCCTGTGTTCAGCCTGGAGGCCATCAGATTGAGATGACTTTAAATTTTTCTTTGTATTTATGTGTGTGAGTGTGTGCACCACAGCATACGTATGGGATAGTAGTAATTGATTCTCTCCTTCTACCATGTAAGGCCCTGGATCAAACTCAAGTTGTCAAGCTTGTAGTAAAGTGCCCTTATCTGCTGAGCCATTTTACTGGCTCTGAAACAGTTTTTTAAAATGTAGTACCTGCTGGACATAGCAGACAACTGCTGTCCTAGCTACTCAGGAAATTGAGGAGTTGGGGCTAGCCTAGGCAACGTGACAGGACCCCGTTAAATAAACCAGTCATCTGCATAAATGGTAGGTGCTGGAGGAGCTTGAAATGCTCATAATCACCCTAATTGGACTATCTTCAAAAACCAAGTCATGTTCTTCCAGCATTTGCGGAATACATTCTGATGGAACCCAGCCCAGACTATGCGCCAATATTTGGGTTGATGCAGGAGAAAATTTACATCAGTAAGATTGTGGTTGAGTTCCTGCAAAGCAATCCTCACGCCGTCTATGAAGACTTAATAAATAAGATCGAGGTGAGAGCTTTTACCTTCTCTAGGGTTTGGATCCACATGTACACAGCATGGTTGATGCTAGAGAAGACTGTTCAGAATCAGAACCTTCCACTACCACTAGAAGATTAATGCAACAGGCCTGGGGGCGTGGCTTACTTGTAGTGCCCCTGTCTCGAATCCCCAATGGGGGCCTAGGTGCGCAACTTTTGGTACATTGCTTGTCTAGCATACATGAAATACTAGGGTCCCCTCTCCCAGCCTTACAAGGAGGCAAAACATTAGAAACATCTGATCGTTTCTGTTTTGTTTTGTTTTCTTTCTCTCCCCCCCAAACCAAAGACCACTGTCCCTCCTTCTGCCATTAACCTGAACCGGTTCACAGAAGACTCCCTGCTGCGCCATGCCCAGTTTGTAGTGAACCAGGTAGAGAGTTACGATGATGCCAAGGATAGTGACGAGACACCCATCTTCTTGACTCCCTGCATGAGAGCCCTGATCAAGCTGGCTGGGGTCACTCTGGGACAGAGGTAAGGATGTAGCAAGAATCAGATGGGAGACTTAAGACCAGAGAAGGCAGTCTTATGTCTGGTTCCCTAAAATGGTGGCCATCTGTCTCAGGCGAGCGGAGAGACGCTATAACCTCAAAGATTCTACTAAGGAGAAGGACAAAGGGCCCACAAAAGCCACCACCACCAAGTTGGTCTACCAGATCTTTGACACGTTCTTCTCAGAGCAGATCGAGAAGGACGACAAGGAAGACAAGGAGAACGCCTGCAAGCGCCGGCGCTGTGGCGTCTGCGAGGTGAGCAGGCTAGCCACACCGTGAGCCATCCTTGGCTCTTCCTGAGATGTTTAGGAGTCAGTACTTTGGGGGAGCTGTCTGCCTTGCTGGACAGGTGGGGTTGAAGTCAACAAGAGTGTCCAGGGCCTTTTAGGTGGATGCCATTGACTACATAGTCTGGTTTCCTGAGAGACGTCAGCTCTACCTCCATGTCCTGTGGGTGCTGAGAGAGGGCGTGGGTGCTGAGAGAGGACTAGCCCAAGAGCCAGAGTCGCCCCTCAGGCCACATTACACTTGTACTTCTGCAGAAGCTCTAGCAGAATTCCAGTGCTTCTCTCAGCTTAGATCTGTGGCTGCAGGGAAGGCCTCTTGATATGACTTGGGTCTTAATCTAGCTCAGGCTGGCCTGGAAGTCTCTATCCTACCTTATTCTTCCAAAAACTGGGTTTATAGACCTGCGCCACCATGGCTGGCTCTTGTGAGTACTTTTGTGTCAATGGTCTTGGAATCAACCTGTGTCATTAACACACAACCCAAATTAAAAACAAGAACAAAACCCTCAAATGATGTGGTTAAGCTGGAGGCACGAGCCTATCCCGGCAATGGGGGCAGTGAGGATCAGGATTTCAAGGTCGTTCTCAGTTATAGTGAGTTTGAGGTCAGCCTGGGCTACAGCATATACTGAACCATAGCCTGCATGTGCGTGTGGATTCTAAGGCAGCTTTGTAGGCAAGGCTGTCCTGAACCTGCTGATGCTCCTTCCCCTGCCTCCTGAGAGCTAAGCTTCTGGGTGTTGTACTGCATGCCCAGTCCTGTGAGATCAGTTGTGTCCCAACACCAGCTTACGGGACATGCCTTATCTTATGCTATCAAAGGAACTTAAGTGTCCTGAGAGCTCTGAGTGAGAAGAGAAGACTGTTACGTGCTATTCTTAGTACACAAGGGACTGCTAGGTTCTTTAGAGGAAGTCACCGTAACCGTGTGACACACTCAGGTGTATTTTTGCAGTTTACTGTTTTGACTTTCCCTGGGTGTAGTAGAGCCTCGCTGCTCCTTCGCCTACAGTATCATCCGTCCTTTTCTCATGGTATAGGCCTCCTCGGGATGCCCGTCCTCACCTTGACTTTTTCTCCGTGTCCTTGTATTTGATGTTAATTCCTTTTAAAGTTGTTGTTGTCTGTTTGTTTCTGAACAAGGGAGCTGGGTGCTTGGTTCCTTTTGATTACCTTATTCTCGTTTTTTGTTAGTGACTGTCCCCACTGACTGCTTGTGAGTTTCCAGGGAATGCTCAGCACCCTGTGTGCCTCCACATACTCAGACGCAGAGGCCCCTTCTCAGGGTACAATGTGTGTCACCTGTGCATATCTGTCACAGGACCTTAGTCATAGCTGGATGACCTGATACCTGATGCAGGTTAAGTCTGAGTAGTTGTCAATACTTAGGGAATGCATGGGAAAAGTCTGAAGTGCTCAGCGCAGATGCGGTGTGCTTTCACACTTACTAGTTGAGGGTGTGCACAAAGGCTGCAGTGTGCACGTGGAGATTGGAAGTAACTTTGGAGTTTTAGTCTTGCTGTGGGTCTTGAGCATTGAACTAAACTTAGGAAGCTTGGTACTTTTACCCACCAAACATCTCGCTGACCCTGAGCAGGCATAGTTTTGAAAGTTCCGGGCTGGTGTGGTGATGCATGCCTTAATTCCCACCCAGCATTTGTCTGCAGAGGCAGGTGGATCTCTGAGTTTGAGGTCAGCCAGTGCTATGTAGAGAGACCTTGTCTCAAAACAAACCAAACAAAAGTTCCTCCCTATGAATGGCTGGTTGATCCACCCTTTTATTTTTCAGGTCTGTCAGCAGCCTGAGTGTGGGAAGTGCAAAGCCTGCAAGGATATGGTTAAGTTTGGTGGCACTGGGCGGAGTAAACAGGCTTGCCTCAAGAGGAGGTAGGCTTTGCTATGTTCTGTTCTGGTGGCAGAGGCAACGACATGGTGTGGTGCTGACAGGATGCTTTCCCAGGGGTTGACTGCAGAGTGTGTTCTGCAGGTGTCCAAACTTGGCTGTGAAGGAGGCAGATGACGATGAGGAAGTTGATGATGACATCCCAGAGGTGCCGTCACCCAAAAAGATGCATCAAGGGAAGAAAAAGAAACAGAACAAGGATCGCATCTCCTGGCTCGGACAGCCCTTGAAGGTGAGGCCTCTTCCTCTTACGTGCTGCTGCATGCCTGAGCCTAGCCCTGCAGCCAGGAAGCCGCAGGCTCACCTGTGAGATGCAGGCTGCAACCCAGCTGCTGTCCCGTCCCCCCCTTTCCCCATACTTAGGAGTAGAATGCAAGGCCTCAGGCACTCTAGGCTGGAGCTCTACAACTGAGCCACACCTCAGCCTCACTGGTAAATCCTGAGATGACTCTATAGCCCAGGCAGCCCATATACTTCTACACTTTACATTATTCCATTTCAGCCTCCCAATTGCTAAGGTTACAGACATGTGCCACCATGTCAGCCTTAGGTTGGTTTTTTGTTTTTGTTTTTTGTTGTTGTTATTTTGTTTTAATTTAAGACGGGGTTTCTCTAACTGTCCTGGAACTCCCCATGTAGACCAGGCTAGCCTCTAAGGCAGATCTGCTTGTTTCCTGAGTGCTGGGATTACAGGCGTGCAATACCGTGCCAAGTTTAATAGAAATGATTAAACTGGACTGTGGTGGCACATGCCTGTAATCCCAGCACCTGGATGGTAAGCAGATCTGAGTTTGAGGCCTGGCTGATCTACAAAATGAGTTTCAGAACAATCAGAGCTACAGAGAGACTATCTGAAAAAAACAAACAAAAATTAAAAATAATTTAAGCTGGATGGTGGTGGTGTACTCGTTTAGTACCAGCACTTGGGAGACAGAAGCAGGCAGATCTCTGTGTTTTAGGCCAGCCTGGTCTATAGAGCAAGTTCTAGGACAGCCAAGGTTATACAGAAAAAGGCATTCATTCAGAAGCCTTGGTTTGGTTTGTTTTAAAGATAGGCTCTCACTTTATAGCCCAGGTTGGGTTAGAACTTAAATTTTTTTATAAATTTTCAGATTTATCGCGTGTAAGGTTTTTTTTTTGTTTTTTTTTTTGCTTATATGTATGTACATGAACCATGTGCATGCCTAGTGCCCACAGAGGTCAAAAGAAGGTATGGAATCCCCTGCAATTGGAGTTATAAATGGTTATGAGCCACTGTGGGTGCTAGGAACTGAACCCAGGTTCTCTAACAGCAAAAAGTACTTTTCACTGCTGAACCCTGGACCTCTTGATCCTTTGCTTTGTTTCAGCCTTTCAAGTTTTGGGATTACAGGCATGTGCTGACAATCCCAGCAAATCACGCCTTTTTTCTTTTGAGTTAGGGTTTTACCGTGTAACTCTAACTGGCCTAGACCTAATGTAGGCTAGTTAGGCCTGTTAGGATTAAAGGTGTGTACTATTACACCCGGCTTTCTTGATTTCATTTCGTTTATTTGTGGATGTACACACATGCCAGAGCATGCATGACTCAGAAGACAACCTACGTGAGTCCCTTCTCCATAGAGTGGGTCTTAGGTCAGACTTAGTGACAAAACTTTATCCACGCTGGCCAGGTGG